TGGGCACTAAATCTGGTTCTTGGAACAAGTGTATATATTCTTTTTTTAAAAAAATACATTTCATATATATATTTTTAAATATTCAATTCTTATTTTTTCTCTATTTTAAGAAGTATTCTTTACAAAGAAATTTATTACATATTGTCACCTAATTTCATAGCATATTAATTACAAAGATTATTATAAAAATTTATTTTTACAGATTCAAGCTCCCTTTCAATGTCTATTCAAAAATATATATATATATTTTTTTTGAAACAGGGTCTCACTATGTAGTTGAGACTGACCTGGAACTCACTATATAGCCCAGGCTGGTCTAGAACTCACAGCGATCCTCCTGCCTCAGCCTCTCCAGGGCTGGGATCACAGGCTTGTGCCACCACGCCCGGCTTTCGAAAAACTTTTTTAGAAAATAAAGTATAACAAAGAAAATAGTGGAACTTTTCTCATTTGCATGACATTTGGCCTTTTGTTAAACATGTTGTACTCAATTTCTTCATAAAAGATAATAATAATTACTTCATTAAGTTGCCTTGAAGATTAAGTGTTCAAACAGGTAAAATATTTGGCATAATGCTTATCACACACAGTGTTGAAAAAATGTTCATTGGTCTTATTAATAAATGACTTATTATGTATTTGTATGTTAAATTAAAAAGTAAATTAATAATAAATTGTGCTTAAGTGTTATATTTCTATTAATAAAACTTTCACAAAGTATACTTCAAATTAATAATTCAAAGATTAAAATTTATATTATGCGATGCTTACTTAGATTTACTAAATATGTCTTGAACCACTTATAAACTAAAACAAATTACAGAAATGCTACTTAACTCTATGACAGCAGTTAAAATGAAATACGATGTATGGATTAAATAGCACTAATAATGACATTGGCCAGTTTGTTTAGTGAGGATTGCAATGTAGCAGAAGATTAAGTTACTTAATATTATGCAAATAGGACTCTTTAACATATGAAATTAATATCTGAAAATATATTTTACATATTAATTTTAAAAGTCACTCCAAATACATTTCTCTTGATAAAAAATCATCCCTTTTAAATTGTTCAAAAAGCCACAAAATAAATTCAAAAGTTAGTACACATCCTGATTTTTTAACACTTAAAAGAGTTTAAGACACTCTCCTATTTAACATTAAATTGCAAGCTTCTGTTTCTTCTTTTTAAATACACAATTGTGATCATTTGTTTACAAATAATATACTTTAAGACATGATCTTTTAACCTGGCTATAATTGCAATAGTGTTGATAGTATGATTTAGTTGTCAGATATTTGAATTACAGTTTAGGTTTCTTTTCCCCTATGACCTAATTTTTAAAATGTGTGCAAATACTACAGACCCATAAAACACCCGTGTTTGAAGTTTCCCTATCTCTGTGCTCCAAGTGGAGAAAGAATTTAGGAATACTTGTTTTCATAATCACCCTCATGGAACAGAGTGACACAGAAATCAAGTTTCATAACCTTTGCATACGTTCTAGTCCCTTCCATGAAGGCCATCATCTATCATAATACCCCTCAGAAGATAGCTATCATGACTCATTTTTCCACCACTGAAAAAAGATATAGAAAAGCAAGTATGACCTCTGAATTCTAAGCTAGCCGTGCTCTGATTAGCAAATGGGGTATAGAAGACAAATACAGTACAAATCGCTTACCAATTAGATGCTGTAGTCTGCATGTCTGTGTCCCCAAAGTCATAAATGGAAATCTTCTCAGACACCTTCAAGGTGACAGCATTGGGAGATAGAGTTACAGGTAGACGGAAGTACATTAAATTAAGACAATAAACACTCTTCCCTGTGAATCTCTGAGATTACTGTCTATCCAGTAATCCTTTTCATTTCTTTTGTAGCTCTTACCTCACTTGCTGAAAAACTGGTGACCTTCACCCCTAGTCCATCTGGACAAGTTTGCTGAGCTCCTGCTCCGTGAACTCCAGAGGCACAACTGTCCCATTAACCCATCACGGGGCCCAACACTGTCAGTGTAGGCTCTTTGCTAGAACAGCTCAAAAAGAAGGTGTTAGTTTACTCCTGATGTGATGTTAGGAACATAAGGGCCAGAAGTTTTTCATCGCCGTCTTTGAAATACTGCTGACAAAATATTAGAAAATAAGAGGAAATAAGGGTCAGGAAGTGAGACCCTGGATCTTGCCATGCACAAGAATTAGGCCAAGACCTGGATTTATCAGCTGTGTGATACATTATTTTCTTTCTGTTTTTGAAATGCACATCATGTTTTTGGTCTAAGACTGGTGAAGCAGAATTTCTGTTACTTTCTCTGAATGGCTCTGACTTATATAGTCGCCCACTAGTCCACATAAATAAAAGAATCTCCTTTTAACTGGAGCTAAAATACAGTTGGCTACTTACTATTTGAAACCAATGATATGCAACACATTTTATTCTCTTATGTTAAGCTTAAAAATGCTGTTAGTAGCTTGAAATGTAGTGTTAAGCAATTTGGAAGATCCTGCCTTTTTTATATTTGAAATTAGCAGCATAGTTTCATATCTTTGGTTCATAGCATTTTCCTAAATTCTCTAATACACTGTTGGTTCTCTGAACAAGCCCTTCTTTTCCTCCAGGTAATTATATTTGAAAGAATCCCTGAGGCTATCAAGAGGCAATTTCTTGGCTTGATAATTATTCCTGTAGAAATCATATGATTTTTTCATGTTTCTTTTAATTTGTAAAAGAAAATGATGTCTTATGACTTTTATGCTAAAAAAAAAAACACTCAAATTAAATATTTTGAGATTGGCAAAACACAAAAAGACTTTTTCCAAAGAAATTTTCCTTGAATTTTTAAATATGTGTGTTTTGATGGAAACTTAATCCATATGTTTCTCATTCATTTACAATTATCTGAGAAAAATGTTGTTTTGTAAGAGTTTGATATCCATTATTTTTAAAACATATTTAATAATTTCCTCTTATCTACAAAAAATTTCACAATTTTTTCACTATCTCGATAATTTGAGATTCATATTTTCTTCTATTTTTAGATTCAAATGGCACATCACATTACAAAAATTTAACTGCTAAGCTTTTAAAAGATAGTAATGATGATGAGAATGAAGCAATCAAAGGAAAATTATAGAAGATAAAACAGGGAAAATCTATGATTCTCGTCACTGAAGATAAGTCAAGTGGCTGAGTCCCAAATTTTCCTAAATAACAGAGTGGTATAAATCTTTGGCCCTGGAACAATTTCATATCTGAGGTGTAGAGGTAGTGATTAAGTTTCATTGTGTCAACTTGACTGGCTTCGGAGGAATTTACTAATTCCTGTCTAAGGGATTAGAAAAAAAAATCACTCCTGAGTCTGTTTGGTCTATCATGGAGATATGACTTTGGGTAGTAGAGCTGGTAAGGGACTATATCTGGTCTCTTATCCCCCTCCTCCCTGGAGCAGTTCCTCTGTTGCATAAGGTTTCTGATCATGTACTGAATCCTCCGCAACTGTGAGCCTAATTAAATCTCTCCTCCTCTAAATTATGGACATTGGATAACACATCCCAGAGACAGGAAAGTTAGCTAATATATTGGAACAGGAAGCCTTTCTACAACAGACAGCATTCTCTCTACCTTGGTTGTGGCACATGGCTGATTTTCAAAGGAGGTTGTAGGACCTCACCAGTATCAAAGTAAGAAAGTGAAAAACACTCTTACCTTCTAAAAAAAAAAAGAAAGTGTATTCCTGTCACCTGTAATTGCCTGGCAATTGGTATACTCAACAATTCCAAATTGTTTATTGAAACCTAAAATATGAAAAGCTGACTCTGGAGTATGAAGTGTTAGCCAAAGGGTAAACAGCATCCCTAGAAAGACAATGAAAAAGAGACATGGTTACTCACTCCTGTAATCCCAGGAGTCGGAAGTCTGAGGTAGGAGAAACTGAGACTGAGGACAGCCTGGGTTACACAGTGAGTTGGAAACCAGCCTGAACGGTGTAGCTGCTAAAAATGAACAAAAAATAACAATACCAAAAACAGGTCTTCTTGAAAGAATTATGTCTTGAGCAAAGAAAATGAGCCAATTATGTTTTAAGAAGAATAGAAGGAAGAAGGAGCAGAGACTATTCTAGAAATGCAGGCAACTGAGGAAACCTTTAACACAAGCTATAATGTATTGAAAAATACAGAGCTCTGCTTCCTGTGCAGATCATATCTAATAAAATATTTAAAATGCTGGACATGAGCGGCCAAAGTAAACCTGACCGATGGGCCGTGCAGAAAAGCAGTGAGAAGAGACAGAGAAAGGAAAGTTCATGGGTTTCTAGGTTACAGAAGTGTTATTTATTTTAAACAAAGATGAAATTAAAGTTGTTTGGGGGAATAAGCTATAAATGTTTATAAATTTCAAAATGAGAAAACTCAGCATCTTTGAAACTATAAACTGGCACATATGAAGTACATAGCCACTTGTGTGTGCTTTGTAAAATGGAGATATTAAAACTTAGAAAGCAAGCTATATTTATTTTCAGAAGACATTTATCTTCATTAATTATAGCATATCTTTTACTTCAAGTGTTGTCTTCCTTTCTCTTGTGGCAACTTTATAGCTGAAAATGACACTTAAATCTCTTCATAGCCATATGATTGTCACCAAAAAGAAATATTGTTTGAATAATTTGCACCAGAATCAGTATTGATTTTAATTCATTCAATACAGATTAATTAAGGTTTATTAAATAACAAAGTCTGTAATATATAAAAGCAGTTGTACAATCAAATGGACATTAGGAAATAAATGTATATTTCTGCATTTGTTTCTCATTGAGTTTATTGGTACATTTTAGGTATACAGTACAGTCACATTCATCATTTGGATCTTGTACCTTTACATGACAGGTCTTGGTTCTCATTTTTCCCCATGACACTTTAGCCTCACACATCTTTTCTCTTTAGAAGTGAAGAGCCAGAACTTTGCCAAAAGATCACACTCACGTGTCGTAAAGGCTGATCCACAGTTTGACACTGAAGTGGGTTCCATGGTTTAAATGTAAAATGTCCACTAAACGTCTTACATTTTCAGAGATGAGGCCCCTGGAAGGTGATGGCACTATACCCATCACTCTCATCAGTGGTTTGATCCACTGATGAGTTCAGAGCTCAAATACTGGTAAGGGGCAGGAACGGGCTGGAAGAGTTACTTCATAGGGGCACACCTGAGAAAGGTAGAGCTTCCTTCTCAGATCCTTCTTCCCTTTCTGCTTCTTGTCTACCATGAGGTGAGCAACTGTCCTCCATCACCTCTTCCTACCATGCTGGTTTTAGTTTGGTCCCAGTTGAGTGTGGATTGAACCCTCAAAGCCATGATCCAAATTAAATCTTTTCTTAGTCTAGTTGAAGGTGTGAGGTGTTTTGTCCCAGCAACAGAAAGAGCTGACTGATTCAGTGGGAATGAGTTTTGGTTCATTCTTCAGAATCCTATTAAGAAAAGGACAATGAAGACTGTAAGACCATAGGCATACTTCTACATCACCGATGGCAATGTTTCTAGAGGTGTGAAAGGGGAAGGATTTCTACGGCTTAGTCACAGTACTTCAACAAAACCTATTTCACAGCAGGACTTTGTGCTTATGCAACATTCAACCTTGCCTCCTTCCAAGCAAGTATATGGACTTGTAATTTTAATTTTTTAAAACTCAGCTTTGGCAGGTTTGAGAGAGAGCGAGAGGTAGGATTATTTCTATCAAGATATTCCACTGATTCCAAAAGAAGAATCACGTTGTTCCTTAGCACTAAGCTCCATGAGTAACAAAGGAATAAGAACAGGGTGGGGGTTAGCTATTCTCTCCCCTAAGCAATTATCAGTATAAAAAAAGCACTGCCCTTTAGCTTAAAGATGTATCTAGAAGGAACTGAAGTAAAAAGACCAACTGAAGGTATCAAGATCCAATTAGTTTAAATACATTGTTAATCTGGCAACCATGCTATAAAGAAGAGCTATAGCTTATTATATTATGGCTATTAAAGAAAAATGTATCCTATGAGATTCTGCATTGGCAGCAGCTTTTCTGATTGCATGTATCTAAACATGCACTGAAATTTTCATACCTTTTGTTCCTCAGTATTTGTCACTTAAAAGGAATAAACTACAAAATTAAAATTTCTTTTGAAAACTTGTATCCATGGCTTACTGGTGAGACATACCATGTGCTGAAAGTTACAAACATAATACTAAAATCTATTAATGTATTTGTAAAGTTTAACTACTTAGAGCCATGTTCCATCATCAAGAAAGGATTTCAAAAGCAGTCACCTTAAAAAACTTAAGAAAGCTCTGAAGTATTTCAAGGCAGCCAAATTCTGCAATGTCTTGTTAAAGTCTTGTGAGGTGGAGGGCAGAGGTAAGGGGAAAAAATGAGAATCAAGACTTGTCATGTAGAGGTACAAGATCCCAACAATGAATGTAACTGTACTGTATCCCTAAAATGTACCAATAAACTCAATTAAAGCTTAAAAAAAAAAAAGTCTTGTGAGGTGAAGTTGGCCTAACACCGATATTTCCAGAGATGGGGAGTTGGCAGATATGATACACATTGGCATTTTACTAACAAAAAAATAAACTGGTTCAAGTATTTGGAAAGTACACAATGTGTGTTTGTGTATCATTTTCAGTTAATGATCCCAGTAGTATAATTTGAAGTTACAAATGACTTTCACAACTTAAGAAGTCAATGATTCTTCTCAAATTGTGTGTGTTGCATTTGTAGGAGCTATTCTGTTTAGCAAGATTTCTCTTACTTGAAAATATGAGCATTACAATAACATGGAATTTCAAAAATAAAATGGAAAAGTCAATGAATGTTAATCAACATTAGACTGTGCATAATTAGAGC